CGTGTTTCATTGAACAGTAGATTATAAGCAATGTTTTTGTTAATTAGAGTTATAGAGATTAGTGTTTTTACACGTTGAAATCATCAGTCAATCATTGTTAGATCACCATTAGAAACCTGGAAGCACTGAAAGACGGCCGTTTTGTCCTGGTTTAGGACTCATCAACAGTGCGCAACCACAAATCCTGAACCTCGCAGGATTCGAGTCCGGGGCCTTCGATCTTGTGCGCGAACGCCTAAACTCTGGACCACTGGGCCGGCATCCAACAGTGTTAACGTCTAACTCTGATCAATCTAAAGATTTTGCGCGATCTAACCTATTTATCTTTGGTAGTTACTGCCTACACTGTGTAAAAACAATCTTCTTATATCGTTAAAATCAAGTTTTCATTCATTTCTTGGTGTATTTTTTACTTGATATGATAGTGGACAACTATAAATACAGTAAATAGTTGCATTTTGCGCAGTATTAATTCGATACAGTGTATCTAAAAAAGAATATTTCTCAAGTTATGAAGGAGCTTTTAAAGTTTGAAATGTCTATCACTGTTTAGTAAAGTGAAGATCTTTATTCTACATAACACTTTACTGATATTCTCAACCATTTTTTTTTCTATAAATGATGAAACTTGAGGAAAATTAACTTGTTAATTCATTAACTATTTTAAACAGTAAATTAAACATAACCACAATTAATTACAGATTTCACTGAAGCCAATTATGAAAGTATTTACAGTTATTTCAAGCATTGTTCATTCATTATTCATTGAAAAATATTCATTAGTTAATTTTTGTTATCTTTATAAATGATAGTTTAAATAACTGCTTAATTGTATTTATTTACATAGATATGTATATGTAATTCTTTTTTTCGGCCCTTATTTCAAAGTCATCACAATAGTCAATATCATTATGAAACATAATAATTCTATTTTGGGGTCATAACCTTTAAATAAAGTCATTTTATTTAATCAGCATATATTCAATATGAATGAATGCATTTCAACATAATGGTATTTTCAAATAATTTAGAATAAGATATTTTTGTAAATTATAAATAACCAAAAAGAATTGAATAAAATAACATAACAATACTGTAGGACATTTTATTTTCATAGGTTAAATTGCATTAACACAAATAATAAGTGAATAATAATTTAACTTAGAAATAATCTTTTATTTTCCTAGTTTAAAAACACTATTTCGATTAGTATTTATTAATACTAATGCAAGAGAATAACTTATAGCTTTCGTAAGCTTATTATTATTATTATTTCTTGTTAGCTGATTAACACATAATTGCAAGGAAACATTGCCTAGTAGCTTTCTGTTTCTGGTGGTGTTTCGTTCTCTGGGCTGGTTGTTTCGGATAGACTTCTATCTGAAGTTTGTGCTGATGATGTTGTTCAAAAGAACAATGAAAGCTCCACAACCGAAACAACCAGCTCAGAGAACAAAACACCACCACAATCATCCATCTGAGCTACAAGTTTTCTCCACCATCTCAAGCATTCTGTTTCAGTTTTTGATATTTTTGCATTTTCAACAATCTGTACAGGGTGACTGAGTTGAACTACCAGTTGAAGTTACGTAAAATAATTGTTCATACATGATCTATTTAAAAAATTGGTAAGGAGATGAGAGTAACAAACTAGTGAAGTGTTAGTTACACAACTGGTTGATGTAAAAGTAACTCGGCAGCAATATGTCTTGTGATATGATTAAACTAATAGCCTGCATTTTGACGTGTATGTAAAAGTAGTGTTTTACTTAGTGTAGTTAATTATTTTACGACTACGTTTACATGTGTACGATGTGGAAGCGATTACTGTTCTCTCATCTATCAAAAAATTTTTATCAAACAAATATTATCACAAACAATTTATCGTGTGAATAATCCAAAAAGACATCTACCCATGCTGCGATACATTTAAACATAAGGGCTGAACGGTTCGAATTATCGGACTGCCATCCACGACTACAGATAAATTTCTAATTTTGATCAAAGAGCAGTAAAAAGAAAGGGTATTGATGATTATTTCACTCCAGATATTTCTGATTCCAAGTCATTAAAAGTTCCTACCAAAATTTGATTACTTAAAGAATGTGCACAGCTGATGGATCCAATTGTAGTATTGAATATTTTTCATTCGCTCTCCAACATTTATCGATATTCTAGCTGAAATCAGTTGATAAGTAATATCACAGGTATATGAAAATAACTTCTATGAAACCTATTCATCTGTAATGAATTCATCATTTGAAGTCGTTGTCCACCGTCTGATCACTGTGTAGTATGCAATGTCTCGTTCTTCCAAGTCCATGGAGCTGTTAAACCAAGCTTGACCGAGTAAATGTTTGTAAACAAGCCTAAATAATATCAGATTGTAATATTATTCCATGTTAGCAAATTTTCAGAATGAATAATATACCACTGAACTAGTTTTACTATAAACAAAAATATATTTTGTCTATAATTTCTTTTTATTATTTCTAATAAGTTGGGAGTTAATTTTTTCGATAATACTTGAATTTTCGGGCACAGTTTTGGAGGTTTGTGTTTTTACACACTTGAAATCGTCAATCAGTCATTGTTAGACCACCATTAGAAACCTGGAAGCACTGGACGGCCGTTTTGTCCTGGTTTGGGACTCATCAACAGTGCGCATCCACAACTACTGCACCTCATTTTGTTAATTGAAATAATTATCCATCAGTTCTGTTATCAGCTAAATAGACTATTCTCTTAATTTGTATCATTTTTAGTTTATTGTAACTAAACAACTCAATAAACGTTTACATAAATATTGAGCTCAACAATATTACACTGTGTTCTGTGTTCAATGATAAAACGAAATTAAACCAACTACCTGACTTTAATAAACGACTTTCATTTTTCTCAGTTTCATCAAACAAGAACAAATAAAAAATTTATTAGTTTGTTTAATGAATAGGAATGCTAAAAATATGACGATTATCCTTCTTGCATTATTCACTGTTCAATAGTCAAGGCCGCAACATTTAAATAATTACATCTCTGACGAAATACTGAAATATCATGAAATTCGGTCCAATTAGTCATTGAACATTATTTAAATTAACTGGCTACATTTTAATGATATTACAGTAAATACAATCACTTCAGATTTAAAGTTATTTTAATCATTTGTGCTATTTAACTACTGTTTATACTGAATCTACTGATGGTTCGTATAAAATTATAGCTAGCTCATCGTTTAATCAGGATGATAAAAGTTACAAGTTTATCTTACAGATACACGACCTCTTTCCAATAGCAAACTATGATTAATACAATTTCATATTTATTGCATAAACAACCTAACTAGCATTATCGGTTGGTAGCAAATATTTGGAATAGGCAGTTAGAAATATCAATCATTCTTGTGCTGAGAAACATAACTGTAATACGAATTATATGATCAGCTTACTTGAACTACTTCAGTGTATAGAATGTTCTTTTTAACAAGTATGAAATAACTTGCACCATAAAGATATTACTGAATAAAAAAATAGCCTACACTATTTTTTATAAAGTAAAATGTAAGAAAAATGAGTGAACACCTCCTTGTTTAAAAATGAATTCACAATCTACAACATATTTCTTTTTTTAACTAACTTTGTCATAAAGATTGTGGTGTTTAACATTTCTAAAGTCACGTAGTATAAATTCTACGCTTCTGGTTTAAAAATTGCTGTTTATTACTTACGATAATAAACGTATTTAAAAAAATTCTAAACTTTCAAAGCATTTTCGAAGTTAATTTTATTACGTCTGTAAATATTAATTAATACTTCGAATTGTTTAGTTGGAACTTTACTTGATAAAATCTAATGACGTTGTTTTTCATAGTATATGTAATATGTAATGAAAGAAAATTTCTAATGCAACATTTATTTTTAAATAATTTTTTGAAAAAATCTTTGACGATATTTTTAATTTAGCTTTTTCAAATGAGGCTGTTCTTATAAGCTCAGAAATTAAATCATGTCGATATCTGCATTCATTCGCTTTCAAATGTTTTATTCACGCCGTTCAATAGTCTAATTCGAACGAATTAAACTATATGTGGCGCCTATTATTGAACAATGAACACCATTTACAATATCACTCGATTATAGTGTTAAACTACACATTTTCGAAACCATGAATCGATCAACGTTAGACCACCATTAGAAACCTGGAAGCACTGGATGGCCGTTTTCGTCCTGGTATGGGACTCCTCAGCAGTGCGCATCCACTGACTCCTGCACCCCGCAGGACTCGAACTCAGGGCGTTCGGTATTGTAGGAGAACGCCTAACCATCGGACCACTTGAGTTTTAGTAACCAAAATGTAACTAATATGCTCAATTATATTATTATTCCGAATAATGGAGATCACTTACTATTCAGTCGATTAAGACCTGGATCATCGTTAGTGTTTTTTGTTAAATTTTTACGATAATTCTACAAGGCATAGGTTTAAATATAAATGGTACTGATCAATTACATTAAAGTTTAAGTACGTCATAATATTGAATGGTGGCAAGAAGGAAGTTCAAATTCAAAGTCTACTGATTATTCTCAGTCTTCCTCTGTTAAAACATTTACAGAGCAGTAACTGTTAAGTGTGTTACATATTTAGTTTTTCAGGGTCTTAATCACAGACTTTCATATCAAGTGAGTTGTAAGACACAAGTTTCATTGCTTTAAACGATAAATGCTTCTACAGTAATGTCACTGCACATAGATGGTAACTTTCAGTTGATATTGCAGAAATTGTCTGAGCTAATAGCCTCTTCTTCTCTGAACACTAATTGAATGGTTCGATTTATAAACACTCTTTAACATACTATGTAGTTAAGAATATTCATTAAGAAATGGAGCATAACTATACATCGAATCTAGCCATGTTCTTTCCTTGGCTAAAGAGTAGCATTCAAATCTATTCATGTTTCTTTCATTCTCCATTATTAATTGTAAAATATGTTAATTTTACAGTGCAGATGAAAGGCTCAATGAAAGAAGACCTTGTGATGCAAGAATTTTTTCTGATGGGAGTGTACTTTGGAATCCAATGGGTATATTTAAAAGTACATGTTCTGTTGATATTAAATACTTTCCATTTGATCGGCAAAAGTGTGTTCTGAAATTCGGACCTTGGAGTTATGATGGGTAAGTTAGGGTTCATAGTTAATGCTTTTTAAGTAGAAAAGTTTTTGTTTTGTTAAAACAACGCATATGCAGATGTCGAAAAGTGGCATTTAGTATCCCGGAATCCGAAAAATTTTACAAACAGTTGAATACGCTGTGAAAACAAATCTTTCCTCAAATTTCCGTATATAATGCTTAGGCGAACCCCGTTTGTGCGATGGCGGCAAAGTGAAGAAGGCAAGTGGGCCAAATAAATGAAATGAGACTTGACTAACCTTTATAGTTAGACAAAAAAATTAAGTGAAAACTCAAGTCCATGGTTTATCTTGTCAACTTCTTCCAACCACCTTACAAACATTAAGAACAGTATATTAATTATTATTATTATTATTATTATTGAAGAAGTAGAATCTAGGTGAAATAAACTTAAAAGAAAAATATAAAGGTGATGAGGAATTCAGAAGGTTAAGATTTGAAAGAACACAGAGAATAAATGCACCTGCGTCATTGCAAATGTACACATACCTATTTCAAATACCGGCTGAAAAGTGCGGTGATATTACTTTAATGCTTTACTGACCACAGTGTGTACATATTTATTCGTGTCAATGAGAAATTCTCAAAAGCTCTTGAAGTAAATGCAACTAAGTGATTTTTTTTTCCGTATATCGCTTTGCAAATATCACCTTCGTTGTATAAATCTATTCATATTATAGGTATTACATTAAATGTTCATTTTATTTTAATAAATTGAGCTTGCACTAATGGTTCGCGATACTGCACAGTAATCTTTCAGAGAAACCTGTGATATTTAACTAATTACCTGATAGTAGCCGATATTAGACTGTTTAGTCCATAATGTTAACTGAATTACATGGCACTATGGTTGGACTCTTAAGTGTCTCAACCTTAACGTCAAATTTATCTGAATTTGGATTTTGGAAGGGAGTCAATGGAGCACCTTTGAAATTATTTCACGGTAATAGCAATCGTAAGTAAAGCATACCTCTTATCAAGTAGGCAAATATATTCCCTCTACAAATTACCTATTTTCGTTTCCCAGACACTTTACTCCTGACCCATTTCATGCAGCGACTGGAGATATTTAGAACTGGGATATTTATAATTACTTAATTACCATTTTGTGTCGCCTAGTACTTTGTGCTAACTGGATACTATTGATGAAGAAAATCACTAGAGATTTTGTTAAAACAAAACTGTCAATCTAACTTGCCAATTTCAACCATTGAATTCAGTACAAAATAAAACGTATATTGATCTTTTCAACTAATATTAATTCAAATTTCATTTGAACTGTATATTTTCTTTTTTAGATTTCGCGTTAACATTTCATTTTATGATGGTGAACGTAATTTTCGTCTACTTAATTATATTACTAATCCTGAATGGAATTTATTAAATTCCAGTGCCGTATTCACAGAAATTTCTTATCCATGTTGTCCGGAAAAATATCCTGATATTACATTCCATGTATGGATTAAAAGAAAATCAGCATTTTATACATACATTTTAATTATACCAAGTATACTGTTATCATCGCTTACATCAGTTATCTTCTGGTTGCCACCACCTTCACCAGCCAAGATTGTTTTAGGTGAGTAAGTAAGGATGAATATGATTATTTTGTTGAAATAAATAATTACTTGAAATTAGTTGATAAAACAAGTTAAGTATTTAATTTAATGAATTAGACAACATATATTGACGAGTAGTCAATCTTATACGGTTGGTAAAATGTCATCCGTCGCAAACACCTATGATATTCATTCATTTTTGTAACATTATTGATTACTTACTTACTTACGCCTGCTACCACCACTCAAGCATAGGTCGCCGACCAGTGTTCTCCAACCTACTCTGTGCTGGGGCTTCCCTTTCCAGTTCTGTCCAACTTTTGTTCATTCTTCTCATATCTTTCTCCATTTCTCGACGTAATTTTCTCCTTGGCCTTTCTCTTTTACTTTTACCTTGAGGGTTCCATGTGAGGGCTTGCCTTGTGACGCAGTTTCCGCTCCATACAGTAGAACTGTCTTGACATTTGTATTGAAAATCCTGATTTTGGTTTTGTTTGAAAGTTGTTTGGAGTTCCAGATATTTTTCAATTGTAGATATGTAGCTGATCCGCGCCCTCACATCTGCATCGGATCTACCTTGATTGTGGATGATGCTGCTCAGATATGTATAGGTGTTAACGTACTCCAAGGCATCTCCATCAAGAGTGATTTGGTTGATGCATGTTGTGTTGCAATCGGAGAATCTCACCCTACTCTTATGCATGTTGAGACCTACTGCTGCAGAGGCTGCTGCTACACTGGTCGTCTTCTTTTGCATTTGTTGTTGCGTGTGCGATAGAAGAGCCAGGTCATGACTGCGAAGTCCAGATCGTCCATTCGCATCCTAGCTGTCCATTAGGATACCGTACTTCCAACCAGATGTTGGAGTCTTCATAATCCAAGTCGATCGCCAGGAGAAAGAGAAAGGGCGAAAGTTAAGCAACCTTGCCTGACACCGGTCTTCACCTCGAACGAGTCTGTTAGCTGTCCTCCATCGATTTTGCAGTTGAATCCATCATAAGAATTCCGTATGATGTTAACTATCTTCTCAGGCACAAACATTAATGATTATCTTTCAGCAAAATAATACCAAACGTTGATAGTACTATTCAAATGGTTATCTACAACATAAGTGTGCATTGTTTTCGGATTACGTAGTTAGTGTCGATACTTTACAGTTGTACATCAGGTATCTCCTTATTACATTCACAACTAATTAATGAGTATCAACAAGAGTGTTCATTTCTAAAAAAAGATAGATTGAAAATTAATAGACCTACATGACTTTATTCCAAAAAAATAATCCAAAGGTTGAAGGTGTTTAAATCGAAAACTGACGATTCTCTTCTCAAAGTCAAATAACAAAGTTTTGAATTCAACTTTCATAGCTGCTCGGAAATCAACTTTACAAAACTTTTCAATGTATAATTCTTACTTACTTACTTACTCTCATTACCCCAATGGAGCATAGGCCGGCGACAAGTATTCTTCAAGCTACTGTTGTCCTTGGGGCCTTCCTTTCTAGTTTCCTTCGATAATTGTCATTCTTAATCATGTCTATCTACATTTTTCGGCGTAATATGTTCACTGGGCCTTTCTTTTTTCCTTTGACCTTGAGAGTTTTTCCCTAAAGAGAGCTTGGTCTTTGTGAGGACGAATGTATAATCCACGCAAATTATAATTATTCAACAATACCTTTAAATTATAATACTTAGTTCTCTGATGTCACACAGTTTAATCCTTCTAATCTCTGTTAAAATCAGTTTATTAATTTGGTATAAACTTCTGTTAAAATTGGAGGAAGCTTATGGCTTAGTTGTTAGATTTTAGTTAATCAGTCAGAAATCTTTTTTTTTCAACAATTAAACTCTTACTTCACAAACTATGCCTTTTATTAATTATCGAGTAAAAAGCAAATGTCAATACTCTTTAAAAATTATTTTATTACATAGTCTAACAAATAAGTCGACACTTCATATTCTTAATTTTTTATACCATTTGAATATAAATATTTTTTTTAAACTAGGAATCATACATTACAAGATTGTAATATGAATGAAACTTTTTGATTATCAAAAATATTCTATTTAACGGAAATTGTTATCAATAGGATTCATGTACTAAAAAAACAGTCAACTAATGATAAAACATGATATCTTCAATGTAC